CTCACCCAGTGTCAATACAGAGCTTTTTGGGATGGAAATCCATCCCTCCAGGAGCAACAGGGTGGGGGCTGTTCTTTCCATGGGAAAGGATAAATCACTCCCCCAAAAAAGGGATTTTCTCAGGGAAACTGAGAGCACAGGGAGAAGGCACCAAAGCTCAGCCCAGAGAGCCTCAAATCTGCTCAGTTTTAGTTTTCCCCCATCCTGCAGGTGGGTGGCTGGTTATTTATGAGGTGTTGTCTGGGGGTTATTAGGAATTTCCATTTCTCTCACACTGGAATTTACTGGGCTCTGCTGCCTTTCATGAAGCAACATCTTTGCTGTGTAGCATCAGCATCTTGAAGCGTTTATGCCCCAGGTACCTGTTTATATCCAAAATGCCAAGACAGCTGAGGAAACAAATTCAGACAGTGTTTCTTCTGCTTTGCTTTCGTGTGTCACCTTTTTTTTTTTTTTTTTTTTTCAGAAGTGCAGCTTTCTGCTACTGTAAACAACCTCAAAAGCTACAACACATGAAATAAATGGTTTGGGTTTTTTTTTTTTTCCCCTCCAACATTTTCAACTGAACGCTGTAATTTTTTTAAGGGATGCAAAATACCACCGTGATAATTAAAAAGTGTAACTTCAGAGTGTTAAAAAGTGGATTAAAATCTTAGCATGCAGTTAGTTCACAGAGGAACAGCTCTGGAAAACAACAGCAAAAAATCTCTAGCTCACTTCACTCTCTGGACACTGAAGTATAAACAAACAGCAACAACAGGAGAGAAAACCATAAGCCAAACCCATTTTCTCAACCTAAGAGCATCTTTAAAAACAAAAAAAAACCCCAAACCCAGCATAATTTAACCAGCTGGTTTAAAGAGCAGCACTTTAAAAGGATATAAGAAACAAGCTCATTAAGCTGGAAGACATTTTCCATTCCAAAATTAATCCTAAAAATAACTGTGCTCTTGAACTCTGCCCCTTCACTGGGCTGAGGCCACTTGCCTGCTTTCACATTCACTTGGACAGTGGGTTGGAAACCTGAATTCCTGCTTTCTCCCCAGATTCCTCGTGCCCCTGAGGGATGGTCCAGGAGCTGGGATGGCCCAAACTCCAGGGGGATGCGCAGCCATGGCAGGGGATCAGGCACAAATCCATGTGGGAATCTTCAGTCCCTCTGGACCGAGCAGCTCCCTGGAGACGTGGGAAGGTCTTTGGGCTGTGGGGATGCTGCAAGTCCAACCTTTCCCAGGCTGAACCCCTCAGCTTGGCAAGTGAGAGGGGGAAAAACCAACCCACAAACACGGGAAGAGGGAGAATTAACTCAGGCTGTGAAGCTGAACGAAGCCCTGAAGTCAGAGACCAGGCGTGCAGCTGGACAGATGTCCTGGATGCTCCGAGCACAGCTCTGGAGCTCAGCACAGCAGCTGTACCTGCACCTGGATTTAGGAACAACTCTGGGATCAGGCACTGAGCTGCAGGTGCTGCAGGGGAGCTGCTCTCTGCTCTCCAGATGGGCTCTGAGATGCACCAAGAGCCAGCTTCACCCATGCGAAGCTGCAGCCTGCAGTTCCCAGCTGCACGTGGGAGCCCTGCAGGTCCTGCAGAGCCAGCCTGGCTCTCCCCAGGAGCTCCCCACGGCCAGGGGAAGGCTCTGGGAGCCTCTTCCCAACCCTGCTCCCTGTGAGGCGGCCACGGGAGCATGGGAAAGGCTCCTCGCTGGTATTTCCTGCTCCCTGTGCGATCCCGAGGCGCTGCCAGCACTCCTCACCCGGGACAGCCCCGGCTCACCACGCCCAGGCTGACCCTGGCACCTCTGCTGGCACCCCCATCCCAAGCCCCCCACCCCTTCACAAGAGCTCTGCCTCCCTGATTCCCAGGCAGTTCCCACTTTTTCCCTTTTGAACCCCAGGCTGCTGGTGCAGACACCTCAGACCCCGATGAGGAACACACTGAGCAGGGAGAGTTCAGCTCCTGGATGCAAACAGCCGCCCCCACAATAACAACCCCTGCATTACTCAAGATCCCTGATGGTAATCTTAATTTTGTTGACTATCCGGTATTTAGTGGGAGACAGAGTACAAAAAACCAAAGCCTTACACAGCTGGCAGAAATTCATAGGGGTGAAAAAAATGTTCCCAGCTGATTATTTATTATGGCTGCAGCATCTCAGGGAGCATGGGGCTCACTGACTGTGAATGCTGGGATCTCTCTGACGTGTTTCTAACAGGGAACAGCCAGAAGAGACGCACACAGCAGGAGGAATCCTCTTCTCCTGCAGGCTTTCCCCTCTTTAAGCCAAGATTTGTAGCACTGAAGGATCCCTGTCCCCCAGCAGGACCACCCTTGGTGTGCTGCTGCTTGTGCCCTGGCTGGGCACAGGGTCCAATCCTCTGGCATGTTCACCTGGAGCCCCTCAGCTGCTGGGATCCAGCCTCCATCAGGCTGATTTTGCTTCTCTAATCCAGCTTCTCACCCAATAACCCCTTTCCTTTTTCCCTGTTTAAATGGAGTACAGCCTTGCCTCTCACTTCTCCTCCCAGCATCACCCAGCATTGCTCCCCACCCCAGCCCTGCCTCTCTCTCAGCTCCAGCACTCACTTTAGAGGCTTTCACTGTGCTTCCAGCAAATCCCAGCACCTCTGGCCTGCAGGAGAGATACTTCCCAGCAGGAATCTGCTGTGCCTTTACACAGATATAAATTAGGCCTCCAGAGCAAGATGTTTTTTAGGGAAATGAGGCCCATAACCCAGGCTCTGGTACTTAAAAGATACAAGGGTTTATGCTAGAGGATAAAAAGCCAGCTATGATGTGAATACTTAGGCAAAAGGAATTAGAAATGTGATTGGGATTTAGCCCAAAACTCTTCCCCAAAATAGAGATGGGAACAGGAGAGGACAGTTTCAATCAGCTGGGATGGGTGCAATGGGAAGAGACCCTTTTTTTTTAACAAACCAGGTCGATACCACATGTGAAACTCAAGAGCTGCTCAAAACCAGAGCTCAGTAAGATCCAATTTCTGACTTTCAACTTTAGGACAACTGAGACATTTCTGTGAGACACTGAATTTTTAGGTTTATAACAAGAGACAGGGAAGTTATTCCATCTTTCCCTACATGGGGATTATGCCTAAATCATCTCATGATGACTGTCACATCACCAGTTGCTGCCCTCACCAGATCCATCAGCACTGCCTGAGTGCACTCCTGGAGTTACCAGGATCCCATCTGTCACACTTTTAAATAATTGTCTGATCATTATGAATTCATTTGCTATTCATTGTGATAATGTTAATCAAGATGAATTAATAGAGTCCTCACACTGTACGTGCTCCCTGGGGACTTCCACCACCATTTAGAAATTAATTAATGGACCTGTAATTTTTAGCGGTGCTGCCCATGCAATCACCACTAAGGGCAGGCACGGAGCAGGTACCTGCTGACAGGGTGGCAGAGTTCCAGCATTCCTGCTGCTCTTCCCAGCCCTACACACCTTGTTCTGAGGGGCTGAAAGGTAAGTGGGTCTCCAGCTGCCAGTGGAAGGCTCTGGATGCAGTGCCAGAGGAAGGGGATGCTCTGTATTTCTCCTGCAGAACACACAGGAGAATTCTTGGCTTCTTCCTGCTCATCTGAGTCTCCCATGTGTGGCAAGCACATTTCATTCCCTCTCAGGATTTTTCATAGAGGTGCACAGAGAGAAATGAAAGAGAAAACAATTTCTAGTTCTGCTCCTTGTTTTTCCCATGTGGAATATGTTTGGAGAATTGTTTACCTGGGGTGATTGCTTGGTTGGATTCTGGTGAGGATTGTTTGAGCCTGGTGGCCAATCCAACCCACCTGGGGCTGGACTCTCTGAGAGGGTCACGAGTTGTGTTAGAGTCAGAGAAAGTAGTATGTAGTTTTAGTATCCTCCTTTTATATAGCATAATAATATTTTTTAGCATAGTTATAATAAAGAAATAATTCAGCCTTCTGAATTGAGTCAGACATCGTCATTTCTTTCCATTGGGTTCGCCTGCATTTACAATACCCATGGCTCAGGTTTTGGATCAGATTTTCCTCATCCCACTGCACATCTCCCACGGAATCCAGTATTTCCCACTGCTCTGCAGCCAGGGCAATGCCCTGAATGCTTCAATCTCTCCATTTCATGGTCTGCTGGGGCAGCAACATTTGTTTTGAGCACTGAAGGGTTAAGCTCAACATCACCAAAGAGGTCCCCTGGGTGCCCTGGCAATCCCCCCACACCTCCAGCACAGACAGCTTGGTGACACTTGGTGACTTTGGTCCTCAGGTAACCCCATAAACTGAGTGTGGCAGGGTTTGCCCAACACTCAGAGCAGCTCCAGCACTGCCCCGTTTATCCAACGCCCCAGACAGGCCTAAGTGCTCTTCAAAGGCTCCCAGGCTGGAGCTGTGGGCCAGGGCCAGAGCAGGGTGGCTTTATCAGCCTGTCAGAGAGGCAAGTGTGGCTCTGAAGATGTAAGGGGGGGAAGCAGCACAGAGCTGGGGTCACTCTCGCGTCATGTCTGCTAAAAGCCTGTCCTGCCAGCTAGATTAGAACAGACACACTCAGCATTTAAAAAGATCATTGAAAAGAGGCACTGCCGGGAAAGTTTAGATCCTAAATTTAAATTCCACTAGGGGAAGAGCTATCTTAAAGAGACCGAATTGCTTTCTTCTTCCCAATGGGAAGAAAAGTGCAGCACTGGATGAAGTGGTGAGGCCCTGGCACAGGATGCTCAGAGAAGCTCATCCCTGGAAGTGTCCAAAGCCAGGCTGGAGTGGAAAACATCCCTACCCATCACCTGCACACTGCTGTGACCCTCAGTGCTGCTCCACAGCGAGTGACACTGTGAACAACACACTCTGGGGCCACAGGATGCCCCAGCTGAGGCGCAAAACCAAAGCGCAAACGCGATTTTTGTCGGCGCGGTGACGGCAGCTCTCGGCAAGGCTGGCACTGATCCTTGGTGCCCACCAAGCTCCCTGCAGCACCCTGGCCAGGCCAGGCCTTACCTTCTCTCTTCATGCCCATGGCCAGACACTTCTGGTAGCGGCAGTACTGGCAGCGGTTGCGCTGGCGCTTGTCGATCAGGCAGTCCTTGTTGTCCCGGCACGTGTAGGTCAGGTCCTTCCGCACCGTGCGCTTGAAGAAGCCTTTGCAGCCCTCACAGCTGTAAACCCCGTAATGTTTACCTGGGGGAGGGAGAAAACTCGAGTTTAAAGGCGGCCCCAGCTCATTTCTTTGCCAGCAGATCTTCCCAGGCTGAGTTTGGGAGGAGCAGAGGATTCCTGGAGATGGAGAGCAGTGGTTTGGCTTCCACTGAATCAGGATGCCATCCATGGGTCACATCCTGCCTTCCATCCAGGGAAAGGCCATTTCTGGGCCACACAGCAGTGGAACACAGTACCCTCTGTACCCCTGTGAGCTCTCTGAACCACCCCCAGCAGACACACAACCGTGCTCCCACCCTCCACTTCCAGCCCAAAGGGCTCACACACCAGGCAACCAGAGCTCTTCTAGAGCAGGGGCTTTTAGAAAAGCAGGAGAATAAAGGGAATTAGCAGGTCTTTATCTCCCAGGAGGGGAGAAACTCCATGTCAAGAGCATCTTTTCATGTGGGAGCACCAGTGCAGACCCAAGGATGGGGAGAGGGAGGAGACCCACTGCTGAACAGGAACCTGGGGTCTCCTGGCTCTGCTCTTCATCCCCTGCAGTGAGGCACAGGCAGGTCCTGTCCCAAAGGAGAGCTCCTGCTGGCACTCCCCGTGCTGCCAGGAGCCAGGGAGCCAATGCCAACTCTCTGCCACACCCCCAGCCCGCTGCCCTGAGCCCCTCCCGGGGCAGGTGCCAGCCTCACCCGAAGATCTGTCCCCGCAGATGGCACATATGTGCTTGGTGAAGGAGGCCATCGTTCCTGAGGGGTGTGCTGGCACTTTGAGGACTCCATTGAGCCCCAGGGGTGGCTTGATGTCTTCTGTGCTGGTGACGGAGTTCATGGGCGAGTTGAGCTGTAGAGGGACAAGCACAAGGCTCAGCTGGGACTGGGGACACGGGGACACAGGGCTGTGTCACTCACACGCAGGACAGGGCAGGACAAGCAGGGGACAAACTCCCAGTGGGGACCAGCACTGCTGAACCAAGAGGATTTGGGCACAGGAGCCCTCTGCCCAAAGGCACAGCGCTCATCTGGCCTGGCACAGGAGATGAGGTGGCCCTGAGCTGGCAGCAGGGTGACACAAGGAGCAGGACATGGCCAGCCTCCCAAGCACTGTGCAGGGCTGACCCTGCCCATGCAAGCAGGATGTTTTTCCATTATTTAACTGGAAAGCAAGTTCCTCCTGCACTGGCCCAGCACAGCCCCCACAGGCAGGGCTCAGCAGCCAGCCCAGCTTCACACCAGCACGGGACACAGGCAAGAAAATCTGCAGTGGTGGGAGAGCTGCTGGCTGGGAGAGAGCCCTTGCATGGATGATGAAGGCCAGGACACTCTTGTTTAGCTCTGCAATTTATAGATATCCCTTCAGCATTATCTCTCCAAAGGAAAGCTCCATGGCAAATAAACACGTCCCAGGGCCTGGATTCCAGAGCTGGAGTGGGTGGGACATGCCCCTACAACTCCCAGATGTCTCTCCTTCCTTCCCTTGGCCCCCAACAGGCAGAGAATTGGGTGGAACTGGCACTGGCACCACGGCACTGCTGTGGAGTGAAGGGTTCCTGGGCTGAACCCCCCACTGGGCTGTTACACACGTGTGTGCAAAGAGAAACTGAGGCACAGGGCTGTAGGATCGATCCATCTCGGTAAGGGGACAAGCTCACCCCATCCAGGAGGGTCTGGGGGACCTGGGCTTGGCTAGCTGGCTGGGATCACTGGGGGTGTCCCCAAGGGAATCAGCCTGCCAGGGACTGTCCCAGAGCCACCATCCCAGGCACCCTTGAAGCCCAGGATGGATTCACAGGCCCGAGGCTCAGTTTGTTGCCTTTCTCTGCTCTAAGAAAGATCCTCAGCGATTGCACTTGGCACAAATTAACTCAGGGAAGTCCCAGGGCTCATGATCTGTCAATGAGAGTGGCACAGCTGCTTCTCTGCCTTTCAACTCTCCAGGCTGGTGGGGAATATTTGGCAGGCAGATGCCTGGCAGCCACACAAGAGAGCCAGGTAAACCCACCCTGGAGAAACGGGATGGATGTGCCTCCCTCTGCTGCCCTGCCCGTGCCAGCTGATGAATCAAAGGCAGCTGGGAGCTGGTGCCACCAGGGATGCACTCCCTGGGTGTGTGACAGAGCAGAGAGGGGAGGGAGGAGCAGGCCCCAGGCAGGAGCATCTCTTTTTGAGTGCTCCATGATCCCTGTGCTCCCCTGGGAGCAGGGGTTGCCAGGTCAGGGTGACCTGCCCCAGGAATTCCTCCCAGAGCCCTTTCTGGGAAGTGGAGCCAGTTCCCAGGTGCAGCTGGTGGCGAGGGCTCCTGTCACACCATCCTGGCTGTGGGAGCGAGCCCAGAGGCTGCCACGGCTGCCTGATGGAAGATAAAACCCTTCACCACCACTTCCCCCAGCCCCAGCAGCCCACAGAGCCCACCCAAGCAGCCCCCCAAAAACACTGGGGGGATGATGGGCAGAGCAAGACCCACCCAGGAGGGTGGGGGTCCCACCAGCCTCCTCAGCCTGGAGAATTCAGCTGCTCAGAGCTGAGTCAGCCCTGGGCTGGGGAGGGAAAGTCATCGGTTCCTCTCCCAGCACTGGCCCCAATCTCAGCAGAGCCACCCTGGGGTTCCCACACCGCCCTGGCGCCTGCCCGGGAGCACGTGCAGGACAGAGGAGGGGACAGCAGCCCTCGGCCTTGGCACAGCATTTCTGCTCTGGGACAGCAGGGCTCCAGCTCAGCAATGAGCCCAGACAGGGGAGGAACCAGGGCTCTGCTTCCCCAGAGACACCAGAACCTCCCAGCTCCTTCCCCTCCCTCTCAGCTCCTTCCCCTCCTGCTCCAGCTCATCGCACCCAGCACTGAATCCTGGCCCTTCTGGCAAGCAGAGCTTTATTCCTCCTCCTCCTATCCCAAAAAACATCCCAGCCCTTCTCCTGTCCCCCAGGCACCCTTACAAAGAGCATTGTGCAAAGGCAGACGCTCTGGAAAAGCCTAATCCCATGTCTGATCTCTCCCCGGGCATCCCGAGCTGCTGCCAGCGATGCCTGGGGCGGCTGCTCCACACGGCATGGAACGTCCTTCCCTCGCAGCTCCTGCTGAAAATCCTGACTCTTTCCCCTGTTTTCCCATCATTTTTAGGTAAGAGGGTTTAAGCAAAGTGTTAAATCCTGGAGGTGCGGGGTTTAGCCCCAAACAGTCTGGCCACTGTGAGCTGCCCTCGTTCCTGGGCCAGCTCAGCACCAGCATTTCCCTCCCATGGGTGCTGGCATCCCGTGGCAGGATCCCTGATTTTGGGGCTGTGTTGGCAAACCCTGCCAGATCCCGGGATACTCCCAGTGCTGGAGGGAGGGCACTGGGAGCATCCTCCAGAGCTGTCACCAAGGGCTGCAGACTCCCCCTCCCCTCTGCAGAACCAGGTGGGGTGAGGTGAGCCCCCCGTTTTTTGGGAGCCTGGCAGTCCTTCCCATCGGGACCCACCCTGGGGACCTCGTACAGCGCGTGCCCTTCTGCTCTGCTGCCTCTCCGAGGTGACGAGGCGTGGCCTGATGGCAAGTGGCATCTGCCATCTGATGCAAAGCACCTTCCATCAGTGCCAGCCCTGCCCGGCGAAGGGGGCACACGCCTCATTACCCTGCGCTGCGCCGGCCGGGCCAGGGGGGCTGTGCTCCCCGCCCAGCATCGGCCTCGCTGCCCCCTCCTCCTCCTCCTCCTCCTCCTCCTCCTCCTCCTCCTCCTCCTCCTGCACTCTGCTGGCCCAGGTAGGCGCCTCTGCCCGCTGCAGGGACACAGACAGGGACCTAATGTGGCCAGACAGGGAACAGATGGCAGGAGCCATTAGGCTGAGGACCTCCCAAGTGTCACCTTGAAGAAAAACACTTCAGACAAGTCCCTGAACAAAGGAGGGGTGCGCCAGGGCTGGAGCCAAGGGCTGGAGCCACCCAGGGCTGGAGCTACAAGGTCTGGAGCCACCAAGAGCTGGAGACACCTGGGCTGGAGCCACCAGGGCTGGAGACACCAGGGCTGGAGCCATCAGAGCTGGAGACACCTGGGCTGGAGTCACCAGGGTTGGAGCTATCAGGGTTGGAGCCACCAAGAGCTGGAGCCACAAGGACTGGAGCCATCAGGCTAGAGCCACCTGGGCTGGAAGGCACCAGGGCTGGAGCCACCACAGTTGGAGTCAACAAGGGCTGGTGCCATCAAGGTTGGAGCCACCAGGGTTGGAGCCACCAGGGCTGGAGCCAGCTCGCTCCCAGCACCATCCCAGCACACTCTCACTTCCCCTTCTGCCCTGCAGCTCTGCTTCGTTTCGGTTCCCCCGCTGGCCACTCCCAAACTGCACCTTACAATCGCCCCCTCCCCGCCATCTCCCCGGCTTGTGGCTCCCCCCAGGGTTGCCTCACATCCCCCTTCCCACTCCTTCCCCACCATTCTGGCGCTGGGGCTGCTGATTTTGCTCTGGCTGCTCGTTCCCAGGCATAGTTTCAGTTCCTCTTCCCCTCCCCTGGGGTGGGAGGGAGGGACGTGTCCATGTCCACTCTGCTGCTGGCCCTCGGTGGGAAGCAGGTCCCTGAACATCTGAGGGGGTCACAGGCTGAACCCTGCATGGGAGAAGCTCATCCAGAGGCAAATCTCATTCCTCTCTGACCAGCACAGGGATGCTGGATCCTGGAGAAGCTGCCTGCAGTCAGCACAGCCCCACGTAGTAAAAAAGCCCTGGGAATAAATCAGGCCAATATTTAAAAATAAAGGTGCTGGCAGGTGCTTGAGTCCCAGAGAGGGCCTGGAATAAATAAACCTGCAGCGAGTGGCAGGTGGTGGCCAATTCCTTAATCTGCCCTTTTACTAAACATATCCCGTGCGAGCAGCCAGCAACAGGTGGCAGGGGCTGGCCCCGATATGGCTATTTTTAAAAAGAGCTTATCTCACCCTGCTTGGAGGGGTTTTTACATAATCTTCAGCCACTGAAGACCAGTTCTTGCCCTGTGAGGAGAAAGGGGCAGAGGGCAGAGGAGCCCTGGGTTTGCACAAGTGACAGGATAAGGCGAAATGGCCTCAAGTTGTGCCAGCAGAGGTTGAGATTGGTTGTTTGGGGTAATTTTTCATGGAAAGGGTTGTCAGGGAAGTGGTGCAATCACCACCCCTGGAAGTGTTAAAGGTGTGTGGGTGTGGCACTTGGGGACACAGGTTTATGGCGGATTTGGATGCTCTTAGAGGGTTTTTCCAAGCAGAACAACTCCATGGTTCTGCGGGGTACGTGGGCTGGCCCTGGAGGGGATGTGCTGCTTCCCAGGAAGGAGAAGAATCCCAGACAGTCCTAGGGTGGCTCTGTCTCCTGCCACAGCTACCCCAGCTCCCAGGTGACCAAGGTCACTACTCCCCTTCCACCCCAATCCTGGGGACAAGAGGTGATGGACAGCTGTGCTGGTCTCTCACAGACCCCCCAGAGCAGCCCCAAAAAGGAGCACGATGCCTCCAGCTTAGTGCTTCTCCTTTTTGCCTCCCCTTGGCGCCTGTCTGGATGAGGAACCCCCAGGGGTAGCTCCTCCTTGCCCAAAAAGGCAGCACTGACCCCCCTCAGCACCGTCCCCTTACCTGTGGGCTGCTGGTGCCGAATCCCAGGCTGGGCGTGGAGGGGACAGACATCGAGTGTGGGCCCATGGGGGAGCTGATGACGGAGAACGGGGGGCCCATGCCATTGATGGGCGAGCTCAGGGTGCTGATGGGCGAGTGCAGCTGGCCCGGCGAGCCCAGCGAGGAGCCGATGCCCGGCCCGATGGACGGGTGCAAGGACGGGGTGGCCATGGGCCCCCGGCTCGTGGGGGAGTTCAGGGACGTGGAATTCACCTGGTTGGAGAAATCTGCAAGAGAAGGAGGAGAGGAAAGGGGTTGAGTCACCCATGTGGGACACAGCTCTGAGTTGCAGCTCCCTGTTCCTCCCCCAGAATTCCCAGTGCAGCTCCATCTTTCCAAACCACCTTCTTCTGGAGTATCCATTGATGCATTTCCACCTCAGTGCCCTCCTCCACCTCACTGGCACAGCTCTAATCTCTGCCAGGAGCTCAGCATCGCTGCTCCAGCTGATTCCCTCCTGCTACAGGATAATTTGGATTTATCACCGGGCCAGGCCGTGTGTGGGGAACAGTGAGAGCAGCACCCACCCACTGTGGAGGTGGCTCAGCCTGTGCATCACACACGTCAGGTGTGTGTCCATCCACAGGGAATGCTGCGTGTTCAGAGGTTGGATTTGAGGATTTTGGAGCTCTTTTCCAACCCGAATGACTCGGTGATTGTGGAACACTCTGGTGCTGGCTGTGCTCTGCAGGCAGCAGGACAGGCTGTGTCTGCCTGTCCCGGGGGAGCAGAGCAGGGGGGGCGGGAAGGGGGGCTTATAAATAGACTCCAGCTCTCCCAAGAGGAGACATGGAGCCATTCCTGGCACATTTCCTCCTCATCCTGTCACGCTGCTTGCAAAACAATCCCCAGCGAGGAAGGGGCAGGCTCCGGCCCCCAGGGAGGGGAGGGAGGAAGGCGGCGGGGAAGGAGGGGGCAGCTCGGGCAGGGCTCCCCCCAAAACCCACCCGGACCCCCCAGCTCACAGCAGGGCTATCCAGAGACAGAACCAGCACAGCCACTTGGGTGTTCATGGTGGCTCTGCCTTTGGCTGCAGACCCCAAAGTGAAGCAAAGTCTGGAAAATTCTGTCTTCGGTTGCCTGCATCCCTCAGGATCAGCTGTGTCCCCAGGATTTTGGAGCAATTGGCACAGGGATGTCACCCAGTGGGACACACAGCAGCCCAGCCTCAGCAACCTTCCCTGGAGATCCTGAGCCTGGTGGGGAAACCCCAGCAGGAGGAAGAGAAGGTTCAGCAAGGCAGAGATGTGGAACCAGCATCCCACTGCTGCTTCCACAGTCCCATCACTGGCCCCAGCATCCCACTGCTGCTTCCAGAGTCCCACTGCTGCACCCACAACCCCATTACCGCACCCTGAGCCCCATCACTGCATCCAGAATCTCATTTATGCAACCAGCATCCCACTGCTGCCTCAAGAATCTCTTTGCTGCTTCCTGAGTCCTATCCCCACATCCAGAGTCCCATTTATGCCTCCAGCATCCCACTGCTGCCCCCAGACTCCCTTTGCTGCCCTCAGAATCCCACTGCTGCCTCCAGAACCCCACTGCTATATCCAGAGTCCCATTACTGTCTCCAGCACTCCACTGTTGCCCCTAGAATCCCACTGTTGCCCTCAGAATCCTACTGTTGCTCCCAGAATCCCATTGTTGCCCTCAGAATACCATTGATTCCCTCAGAATCCAATTGACGCCCTCAGAATACCACTGCCCCCTCAGAATCCCATTGCTGCCCTCAGAATCCAACTGATGCCCTCAGAATGCCATCACTGCCTCCAGAATCCCACTGCTGCTCCCCAAATCCCACTGTCCCCCTCAGAACCCCACTGCTGCCCCCAGAATGCCATCACTGCCTCCAGAGTCCTCCTGCTGCCCCACTGCTCCCTCAGTATCCCCAGTATCCCCAGTATCCCCAGTATCCCACCTGTGACCCCACAGCCCCCCTGGGCCGTGGCAGAGGAGCAGCCCTGTCCCTGTCCCCGGGGCTCTCACGGGGTGCTGGCACACACCAAGCATGGCCACCACGTCCCCGGGCCTGAGGGAGGCACAACAGGAACCCCAGGAAATCCCCAGAGGGTCTCGGGGCTGCTGCTGGGGTTTGGCACAGCAGCCATCTGGATTTGGGGTTTGGAAAGGGCTGGGAGAGCAGCAGGGCCCTGCAGGAGCTCCTCCTGGAGCAGGACCCCACAAAGCCCCATGGTGGAGGGACACCTTCCAAGGAGGCAGCAGATGCAGGGGAAACAGGCCCTTGACCTGGGCAAAAGGAAGGCAGCAGAGCAAAATCCTTCCTTAGAAAAGATCCGGAATATTTCAGGCAGGAGAGGTCACAGGAGGGTCACTGGCAACCGGCCCAAGCAAAGCACGTGTGGGGCCGGCACCTCTCCCAAAATCCCAATTCCTGGGCAGCTCATGAGTTCCAAGCAGTGTGAGGCTGATGCCTCTCCCAAAATCCCAATTCCTGGGCAGCTCAGGAGCTCCAAGAAGTGTGAGGATGATGCCTCTCCCAAAATCCCAATTCCTGGGCAGCTCAGGAGCTCCAAGCAGTGTGGGGCCAGCACCTCTCCCAAAATCCCAATTTCTGGGCAGTTCAAGAGCCCCAAGCAGTGTGGGGCCAGCACCTCTCCCAAAATCCCAATTCCTGGGCAGCTCAGGAGCTCCAAGCAGTGTGGGGCCGACGCCTATCCCAAAATCCCAATTCCTGGGCAGCTCACGAGTTCCAAGCAGTGTGGGGCCAACACCTCTCCCAAAATCCCAATTCCTGGGCAGCTCAGGAGCTCCCTGCACATCCCATGTCAGCACATAAGCTCCCACATTAATGTGATCCCCAGCACCCAGCAAGGACCTGGGAGGGAAAACCAGAAAAGGGAGGAGAGGGGTAATGGTGTGGGAATGGAGATGTGAGTAGGCACGGCCACATTTGGGGGTGTTTACACCCAAACCCCTCAACCACACACTGGGAAAGCTGAACCACACCATTAAGAGCATCAGGACTCAAAAGTTCCAAGCAATTTCTTGGACACTGGGAGGTTTCCACTCCTCATCCAAACACTCCCAGCTCCAAAACCCCGCCGGGAGAGCGGCAGCAATGGGAAACATTTATATCCAGCAAGCAAATATGGTTTTTTAAACTCAGCAAAATCAACAGTCCACTTGAGGCAACTCAGCCCAGATGCTGCCAGTCCCTGGCTGGAGGGAATTGGAGTTTGGGGAAAATATAAATTGAGGTGGAGAGATGGGCATCAGGAGTGGGATATGAGGAGTCTGCCCTCTTCCCCATCACAAGTATCCTAAAGGGCCTTGACTGCAAGAAGAATGCTACAAAAAAGATAAGATTTAAAAAAGAAAAAAAGCCTAGACTGAGAAAATATCCTTAATAGACACAAATAAATTCCCAAATTGATGAGAACCACTTGGACTGCAGCAAACAGAAGAGGCATTTCCCCAAAGGCATTTTCAGCTCAAGCATTGTGAGACTGCTCCTTCTCCTCGTGGAGCTCTGCCATTTAAAGCTGCTCTGTGTGACTATCTCTTGACCAAAATAAACTCTGTGCCTGCTTCTAAATTAAAAGAAAAAATAGGAAAAAAAAAAGTTCTGAAAGCATTTCCCTTCTGTCACACCCCTCAAGTGCAGCTATTTTCTGTGTGTGTCCTTTGTTTTAGCACAACGACCTCTGTCTCTCCCCGAAGATGCCCCATGGCAGTTGGGAGATCAGAAACCAGAGATCGTCAGCAGCTGGAGAATTTGCAGCAGAGCTCTTTTTCTTCTTCCAAACTACAGCCTGGCAGCCACGGAGTTTGTAGGGGAGTTTTTTTCCCAAGAAATATGACATTTAGGGCAGGGCCACATGATCCATGTGCGAGGGATGGCTGCAAGGAGCCTGGGAGTGTTCCCACACCAGGAATCATCCCCTGGACACCAGACCCAGCACGGGAGTTTTGTGTTTCTGCTGCTCATCCCTTTTCCTCAGCAGATCCCCGCCTTTCCAGGATCTCTTTGGGATGAATTCCCACCTCACAGGGGTTTGCAGCAGCCCCAAAACCACACAAAAGCTGATGCCAAAGCTGGGAACAGATCCTGGCAGTTCCAAAATCCAGGGTAGCATCTCGACTGCTGGATCACCCCTCAGACAGAACTCTTCTGGCATTATCATAATCATAATAATAATTGCAACAAAAATATTATTGATAATTTTCAATAAGGGAAAAAAACCTCCATACAACATTTCCACCCAACACCCATGGGCAGCTCCACTGCTGTTTTCCATCCCCTTGGCATTCAGCACAAAGCTCCAGCTTGGACCAGCCAACATCCACGACTGGATGCACCCCAGATGGGCAGGTCAGACCCTCCAGGAACACCCAGAATGCCACCAGCCCTTGCCACCCTTGCCTGTGGCATTTTGTCACCCAGTGTCACTCCAAGTGCTGCTGCCTGGCCAGGGCACTTCTGCAGCAGCTGAAGCAGCTTCTGCTGATCCAGCACTATCACCAAGGGCTGTGATTTTAACATTTCTAGACCACAAAATGTCCCAGAGCAGAATAATTCCAATGTGCAGAGGCACTTTTATTCCCAGGATAGGTCATTTGTACTGGAATAAAGTGTACCAGCACAAGCTTTCACCAGAATAATCTTCATTTATGCCTAAGAGGCTTTGCCAGTAAAACTACAGCAACCTAGCTCTGCTGGAAAGCCTTTTCTGGCATATCCTGGGAGTTTACTCAGCAGCTCGGTGGCTCAGAGAGAGGGGAAGTTAAAAAAAAAAACAAACTTATTTCAAGGCACAAACAGACTCCCTGAGCTGTGGTTTTCTGCAGCTGAGGAGGGGATACAACCACAGGCAGTCCATTGGCATCAGAGGGGTTTGCAGCACCCCAGGGCTCGAGGAGCTGTCACTGCAGGACCAACCCCACAACCCAGAGCTGTCCCTGGCACCAGCTGAGATTTGGAAAGCCACTCACAACCTCCTGCTCCCGCTTTTTTTTTTTTTTTTTTCCCCTCAGCACCTCTTCCTCCTTAATCAGAAAGCGAATCAACTCTGCGTATTAAAAAAGGAAATTCTCAATTTGGGTTGCCACTCCCTTCCTTCAGTCAGCCCTTGGTGTTAGAGCTCTGCAGGGCCACGCAGGACCAGCAGCACGGATCAGGCTCCTGCCAACATCCTCCTCCTCCTCCTCTGCTCTCCAGCATCACTTTGGGGGTGCCCAGGTTCCAAATCCTCACCCCCAAACG